TAACTACTTTAAATTTAAATTATTTTATTTAGTTATCTAGGTATTGGTATGTTTGAAATAATATTAGAATATGATTTCCTAGTTTTATGTACCTACCTAGTATAGTTATTTTGGTTGGTATTAAAATATTCATTAAATTTCCTATTTTAAAGTRTGTATCTAGGTTTAATGTATTTATTTTTCAGGGTGTTATGCGTTTGTGCATAAAACAATGGGGGCCAACATGGGTAAAAGTTCAGCATCTTTGCTGGATGCACTCCCTACACCACAAAGTCATTTGCATGTAGTCATGTTGGGCCTAGACAGTGCTGGTAAGACTACAGCTCTCTACAGACTTAAATTCAACCAGTACCTGAATACAGTTCCTACTATTGGATTTAACTGTGAAAAAGTAAAAGGAACTGTTGGTAGGGCCCGAGGGCAAACATTTCTTGTGTGGGACGTTGGTGGACAAGAAAAACTTCGACCACTATGGAAAAGTTATACTAGGTAAATATTAATTTAAATTTAATTCCTTTGAAATTGATTAGTTGTACCACTTCTTTATTTACCTTTAATAAATTATTTTCAGGTGTACTGATGGTATATTATTCGTTGTGGATAGTGTAGATGTAGAACGAATGGAAGAAGCAAAAATGGAATTAGCCCGCACCGCAAGAGCCCCAGAAAACACAGGTGTACCGATTTTAGTATTAGCAAATAAACAAGATTTGCCTGCAGCACGAGATTCAGCAGAACTAGAAAGACTTTTAGGTCTAAATGAACTTAATCATTTGTGGCATATTCAAGCTGCTTGTGCTATAACTGGGGATGGTCTTCAAGAAGGTTTAGATGCGCTTTACGATATGATATTAAAACGCAGAAAATTAGCTAAACAAGTAAAAAAGAAAACTCGATAAATTAGTTAAATGTCAGAATGACTAAATTTTTATATAAAAGTACTGTGCTATTGGGATAATGAATACATTAATATATCCTATTTTTGCACTATAATATGAAATTTCCATGACACATGTTTAACAATAAACAACCCATAATGTATTTTGGTTTTGATATTGACGATATTAAGCGTATATTATTTATACCGGGTACATTTATTTAATCATTTAAATTATTAATTTTTATTTAAATGACATAATAATATACTTGATGAATATTTTATAGAAAAGTATTGTAACTTACTAGTAGTAATAATAATCTAATATTGTGGTATTTCATTGATTCCCTGTAACTACTTAAATTTATAGGACAGTGTTTACTATATAACTTTTATCATATAATGCTTAACTATGTTAACATAATTTTAAAATCATAGATTAATTTTTAACAATATTCCCACCGATTGTAAGTATGATTTTTATACTATTCAAATAGCAGTTTTTTGAATATGGCAGCTGAAAAATTTGATGTTGGAAATTTATTATTTCACTTCAATGTTATTTGATTCACTTTAAAAAGTWACTAGTTTGTTATTAAATGTAATTATTTTCACTCCATGGTGCTTTATTATTTTTGAAATTTTACTGTATTATTATTTTCTTAGTGCAATATTTCACTTGTTTAACAATATTGCTGCACTTAAAAAATGTATTTAATGAAAGGTTCAACAGTTAATGTTTTTAACTAAACCCATTTTGAATTTAAATGTTAAATATTTATATTATTTATATATTATATATATATATATATATATATCAATTACAAATATGAAATTGAGTTTCAATAACTGATAGCTGACATGATAAATTTGTGTTTTCTTACACATTTATTTTATTTATAAACATGGGAACAGTTTTTTTTCTATTTTTAAACACTAGCCAAATTTTCTGTTTCATTAATGAGTATTCTACCACCTATCAGGTTACCATGATATTATATGATTATCTTTTATCCCATGTTCTTAAGTCTAAAGTCAGGAAAAACTGTTCTAATGTTTAATATGCCCAACTTAATTGTATATATAATATATACATATACTACTTTTAAAGTGTGTATTTATTAAGAAAATAATTATATGTTATTGTATAGTTAAAGTCATTTGCGTAGTTAATTAAATATTTTAGTTTCCAATTAAGCCTACATCGACATTTTTATCTAAATATATGGGTCAAATACATTAATCCATCAAACTTTGAATCTTTCTGAATATGTATTTGTATATTTTATTCTATATTTATTATTGTTTTAGTTTACGTTTTAATGTAACCTATTTTTTAAATGCTTTGTTATTATATTTTTTACACATTTACAATTTTTTTTAACAAACTACTTAAATTTTTTCATTTATAATTATATCTTATGAATAAGAAGAATTATCACATTTTTTTATGCTTTATTAATTTTCTTGTATTACCTATTCTGTTGTAATGACTATATTTTCAATCCTTTTTAGTTTTTGTTTATGTGTAAATTTGTTTATATAACTTAACAACGAGACTGTTTATGTGTTTTGTTATGTTGATTAACTTTTTATGTTTACATCAATTAAGTAATTAAGTGTGTAAATCTAATAATTGTCATTAATTAGCAATTATTGAAAAGTATTTATCATTAACATTAAGAAACAATCATTTTTAAGGTTTTTTTATTTATATATATTATGTTATACATTTTAGAAAATTGTTTAGCAGAAATTACTGTTTTGGCCTATTATATAAATTGAATGAAAGTTGTGAATCGGTCATATTATGTATTATTAAATGTGAATTGACTATTTTTTTTTACACCTTCAAAAAATGATTTTAGCTTTGTTTAAAATTAATAATAGTATTGTAATACATATTATTTTGTTTGTCTATTAAAATTTGATTTTATGTTTTTTTCTAAATATATTGTTTCCTCAAAATCACCAAATTCAAGCTAGAAATTTGTGTTCCCAGAACTGATGCATCTTTTTTTGGATAGCTATTAAACATAGTTTAAGTCTATTATAGCTTGCAGAATGCCTGCAATGTGATATTTTTTGTTATTCAATTATATTGATTTTATTCATCGACTAGGTATCATTTGACTTTGTAGTTTTTGAAAATATCTATAAATGTATCAAGATTCAAGGTTTACTGAAGTTAATATTTTTTTTTTTAATGTCCGTTGTAGTCCAAATGAGATTTTTTACAGAAAGAAAATGAGGAAAGAGACTGAGTCATGTTTCCCATGGGATTGTTGTACACATTCTTTTTTGCCATTGGTTACTTAATATTTATATAACAGTTATAGAAATAAGTAGTTTTTTTCTATATAAATGAATGCCACCAGTTAGTGGTACCATAACATTATATGACATTATTATGATTGGATATAATATTAAGTATTAACTCAAAATTATAATATTTTTACCTGAGTTGATTAATCCAAAGTTAATAGACTCAAAAACTACCAAGCTGTATTCAATAAGTTATAATATATTCCACGGAGGCTAGACTTAGAGTGTGTTTAAGTTTAGCTTACAAATTTTTTCC